CCATTGTTATTGCGCCTCAAATAAACAATGAATCAAAATACGCATTATCGTAATAGTAAGGCTAATGATCAACAAACATAGCGGTGCAAGACCGGGTGAATCAAAAGTCATTGTACAGTCGTAAGAATGTTAAGTAAAAACCCTTCAGTTATTCTGGCCCACCCTGTAAAAAAAATACGGGCACCTTAGACCCGAAAATTCAATAAATACCATACAATGTTGCTAGCTAGCTATCTATATCAGCTATTGCTATAGGAATATATAAATAGCTACTATGTAACACATCTCTTCGCTCAGGTGCTGCGTATACTCGACATAACCACTCACATATAATTCTCAAGAAATTCTTTTGAAAACAAAACAAAGTTTTATTGTGAACAAAATCGGTTGATGCGATTGTAGTTTCAAAGTGATGGAAATTGTTTATAGTTGTGTTCACATTATGTTGTCAAACGAAATATTATTAGAAGTTAATGAAACAAGTGGATCCATTTCACTGAAATTCATAAATTTGATTCGTAGACATGCACAATTGTATATACATAATCCATTTGACACGAAAATGACCACCATAATGGGCCGAAACGTTACATTTTTCAAAGTTAGAATTTACTAAAAAATTCTAATCAATCTAGGTATCGTATTGGGGGTGGATTATATTTCTAAATGCAGGGTCCGTATAAATAATTATTCATATAGTAGTCGAAAGTATTTTAAATCTAATGTTTCTTGTTTTAAGAATAGGTCCTGTTAATTGGATCTGGCGCAGATGAACTATTTGGAGGCTATACAAGACATCGCAATGCATTTTTACGTGAATACGACGATGGATTAACATCATTTGAACGCCTTGAAAAAGAATTGGAATTTGATTTCAAGAGATTGCCAAACAGAAATTTGGCAAGAGATGACCGTGTTATTGCTGACCATGGTGTTTCAATTAGAGCACCATATATTGAAGAAGTTTTCACACGCTTTATTCGATCATTGAAACCATTTCAAAAGTGTTATCATCAATTGGATCAAGGGATTGGAGATAAACTTCTTTTGCGCTTGTGTGGCTACCGTCTCGGGCTTCGAAGAGTGTCCGTATTGAAGAAAAAAGCAATGCAATTTGGATCTCGTATTGCCGATAGTAAACAGAATGCAAAAGAAATTTCCAAGTTACTTGTATAATATACTGACGTCTTTATTTTATAATTTTATAACTAACCAACTGTAACTTGCCTTATATGTCGTGAAAAATTAATAAGAGGATTAACATGCAAAGTAAATTTCAATGCATATACCTTTAAATAGGACGGATATCAAAAAAGTTATTATTTTATGAGTGAATATTATTGAACCTATCTGGGAATACAAAAAATTGTTTCTCTTTCAATTTGAACAAATTTCATCTATAGATGAAATATTTCAAGGCACACATTCATGATAGTTTTTTTAATTACGTTTTTGATATAAGACATTATAATTTATTTCTCTGCTTTAATAACGAAGTACTACTTCTACTAAATTTATATTTTATGCATTAAATTATATAAATTCCAATAAAAATCATTCTTCAAATTTTTTTGTTACAGAAATTTACAGTGATTTTTTCATTATTATGATACTTGACATGCATTTTCTAGAATTTTCCTTTGAATGTACATTTGTTGTTGCAAATTTTTTTTCAGGCACAAACTTTATTTTGTTAAGTACAAGTGGTAATTTTTTTTTTTCAAGTTTTGGTTTTTTTTTATAAGTACGAATTTTCTGTAAAATTAATAATGAGTAGACATGTTGTAGAACAAACTACACAGATTTTCAGTTTGTTTAGCTTCCAAAAATTCCGTATAAATGTTATAAGCCCCACAATTTTCCTGCTAAAAATTGAATACTTCTAATAGATCGCATTTTGATATGTAATGACTACTGTAAAAATGTAATAAAAAATTTAATATTCAAATTTGGAAGCTTTGGAAGGTTTTGCTTATCGTTTTACATGCTTTGCTTAGTTTGTACAAACTATAAATGCAATACACCATCCTTTTGATTTATCAAACTGTTGGAATCATCCAGTGATTGATTTTCAAGTAAATCAAGAACTTCATCCTCTTGATCGTCGTTTTCAATTTCGTCGGAAGCAGGATTTGTATGTTGTGATTGTTGTGAACCGCTTGACACTTGGCTATTGCGCGAGAATGAACCACGCCGTGGTGCAGCCAATGTTCGTTGATTTGCTGGCTTAACCGTTATTATGAGTTTAGCGCTATTTGCTACCATCATATCAGTCACCTAAAATATATATATTGTATTTATTTAAATAATTTCAAATGAACCATCAAGGCGAAAAAATCTGTTCGGTGCATTTTTTATTATTATTCAACTGTAATGGGTAGCATTTTGAAGAAATCGATGAAAATTCATTTTTTTCCATTTTTAACCACCGAAATTATTTTTACGAAAAAAGGTATGGCCACATTCGGAATGAAACGACCGCGTAGATAATGTTAAAAAAAAGATCATCACGATCGGTTGAAAATTGGAGGAAATATGGTCATTTTACCAAAAATGCCGAAAAAGACCCACAATTGGTCGAATGATGTGTTTGTATCTTTGCATTTTGTCCGTAGTTTTTTTTAAATCGTTTGAAATTATTTTTTATTGAAAGTAGATGGAAAACTACGCAACCTACTTTTGCATTTTTTTAAAATTCGTTGCTTAAATGATTTTTGCCTGGGGTCGAACATTTTTGGGAGGCGCTTTTTGAGTTTTTTATCAATCGGATATTTTTCTGGTCATCTGCAAAGCATTTTAAAAGGTATGAACTCGCTTTTCTGAATCCGAAGTCAGATTTGAAATATTTCTTAAAAATGCGTACATAGGGAAAATCAAAAAACTAGGTGTTTGTTATGACTAAATAACATGTGTATAGAAAGTCTTTGGAATAAATTCAGACGTTGCCATTTGAACAACAAACACACAATATTAAATTCGTTTTTATTGGTATAAACCTTTATTCATTGGCTATCGAATAGCACATTCACTTCACACTGAACGGACCATTATCTTAGATTTTCCTCAGTATGCGTCGAACCATCAAAATTATGTTCTGGACAACCGATTTGTCGATTTCTATCAACTTTCTCTCAATCCATCCAACCAATTGTTGTACGTTTCAAGTATTTTGGACCTTCGCCTATCATACATCCAAAAACAGGCTAGAAATAATTAATTTGGTGTTTTTTTCTGAAGTTAAAATGATGGTCCTTTCTTCATGGAAATCCTATTTTTCAAGAGCCATTATTGTGGTTTTTTCTGCTTGCAAATCAGATAGTTCCCAACCAATTCTATCGATTTCATCAATATTTGGTTGATAATAGAGCAAGTAATGTAGGTTTCAGCACTAAATTTTCAAATAATGGCTCTAAAAAGAAGATCTTACCATACAAACATCACTTTATCAAAGTTCGAGTTGTCGACGTCTCTAGCCCTATATAGTAGTGCCCTAATATAATCAATGCAAAAGAAACCACTGGTACTTGATTTATGGTTCGATATAGCGATGAATGTTTCACTGTCCAAAATGATGAATTTTTCAGAGCAACATGCTATGAGGTGAAGTAAATACTCAAATTTTGACACCCTATTGAATTTTTTCATTACACATTTTGCTGATTCCTAATGATCGTGTCTAAATCTATTGTTTTGGTTCAAATTTGGATGTGTTGAAGCCATAAGAATCACCAAACATGACTGTTTGCTTGACCAACCCGGTTTTCGGTACTTGATGACAATTTCGAAAGGTTTGAGCACTCAGATTGGGAATACGACCGAAAACGATACATGGTTCGAAGACAGATTGGTTCATCTTTAGACACATGCAGAATTTGTTTTGAACTTAGCTGTTCAAAACCATTTCAGACACATTTTCGTAAATCCAATTTGTACGTCATCGTGAATGGAAATTTTTGTGCAAATTGTGTTTGACAGTAGAGTAGGAAGCCCATTAAGTCTCCTATGTGATTGGTTGACATTTTTGCTTTTGTTTATGTGGCGCAATAAACGCCTGAATTTATTCCAAAGACTTTCTATACACATGTTATGTGATGGTTTGGCCTTATTTTTGATCACAGGTAGACGGGGTCTTTTTCAACAAAATCTATATGATTGGCTTGGTTGTGTTCATCAAAGAAAGAAAGCGCACTCAATTTAAGGCTAATATGCACATTTTGAAAAGCCAACAGTCCTTTATTTGGTGAAAATTGGGAAAAAATTGCTTTTGAACGACATCCTGAGTTGTGATTTCTTAGTAATCAACTGTAATTAGCTGGATTTTTACTCTGTTGATTTACTTTGACAACTGGTTTTACATAATTCGGACCCGAGGAATTCAACGGTGACAACCATTTTCAGAAATTTGTTCAATTTTTCGAAAAAAAATTCGCTTGGAACCCACCTTTTGGAATGATATTTTGGAGTAAATTTGTGTTTTTCATTGGATTGCTATGGAAATGTGTACGTAGAGTTTTTTGGTACGAAACTGAATCTAACATTTATTTTGTCATAAAATCAAGTCTCAATACAATTAACGTTAGGATTTTGTCATCTATATACATTAGGGCGGGTCAATTTGTATGGAAGATTTTTTAAGAGGTCTGCCTCAGCGAAATTCGTAAAATACATGTAATTTTAAGACTTTTTCTCCACTAAAGCATATACAAATTTTTTATTTTAGCTGTGCCAATTTTTGAGAATAGATTTTTTCCAAAATATTTAAAAATCGACTTAGATGTTGTATGAAAAAGACAAAAAAAAACATTATTTTTTTTCTAGCCAAATGTGTAGATTTTCTCATCGAATCAAAAAATTATGTTCTACAAAGTTGTTCAGAATGATGAGAGAAATTTTTTGGGTCATGTGCCCTCCAACTCCCCCCACCCCCTAGGGGGGTCAGGGGCCATAACCCCTTAACCCCTGATTTTTTTGACCTGAAACCCAAAAATTCGGCTTCAGCATGCCAAAAAACCTTTAGAAAGTGTTTTTTCCAGATGCCCTCCCAGACAATTTTGACAAAATACCCCATAGTCTCATAAAATTTTACCCCAAATGGGGGGATCTTACTTTTGGTGAAAATTGTCTGGGAGGACATCTGGAAAAAACACTTTCTAAAGGTTTTTTGGCATGCTGAAGCCG